TACTCACGATACAAGATGAGTACACTCACATGCCTGGGGGCTACTCACGATACAAGATGAGTACACTCACATGCCTGAGGGCTACTCACTATACAAGATAAGTACACTCACACGCCTGGGGGCTACTCACGATACAAGATGAGTACACTCACAAGCCTGGGGCTACTCACGATACAAGATGAGTACACTCACATGCCTGGGGCTACTCACGATACAAGATGAGTACACTCACATGCCTGAGGGCTACTCACGATACAAGATGAGTACACTCACATGCCTGAGGGCTACTCACGATACAAGATGAGTACACTCACATGCCTGGGGCTACTCACGATACAAGATGAGTACACTCACATGCCTGAGGGCTACTCACGATACAAGATGAATACACTCACATGCCTGGGGCTACTCACGATACAAGATGAGTACACTCACATGCCTGGGGGTTACTCACGATACAAGATGAGTACACTCACATGCCTGAGGCTACTCACGATACAAGATGAATACACTCACGTGCCTGGGGGCTACCCACAATACAAGATGAGTACACTCACATGCCTGGGGGCTACTCACGATACAGCAGAAGAGCGAGGGTGGTGGAGAGAGGTTCTGTAATGTTGTTATTTGAGGCGCGGCAGCTGAGGTTGGTGTGGAGGTAATCTCTAGTGAGGGCGGGAATGCTGACTTCCGTCCTGACCTGCCGCACGCCCACGCCCACGCTGGGCGAGGTCACCAGGTCGTGGCTTGAGGTCGTGGGCGGGCCAGAGTGGGCCAAGACGGTGCTACGGTTGGCCAAGAGCGTCGACCCTCTCCACCAGGTCACCTGAGGCGCTGGGCGACCTAGGCCGAGAAAGGTCACCTCTTGAGGTCATTGTGTGGGGGCAAGAGGTCACCTAGAGGTCAACAGACCATTGGACGTCTGTGACGCCCTCTAGAGTGACCTAGAATATATGGTTCTCACAAATACTCTCCTGTTATTGTTTTTTAAATCAATTTTCAAAGTGACCTCTGACCGCTGTAAGGTCAGAGGTCACAGTGGCTGGGGGTCAGGTCAGGAGGTCAGTAGCAGTTCAACCACAGTATTGTTGATTGCTTATATCATGTCAGTTTGTTTATATCATGTTTGTTGGGTTATATTATGTCAGCTGATGTTTGTTTACTTATGTCAGCTGATGTTTGTTTACTTATATCAGCTGATGTTTGTTTACTTATGTCAGCTGATGTTTGTTTACTTATATCAGCTGATGTTTGTTTACTTATGTCAGCTGATGTTTGTTTACCAGCATCAGCTGACCAGCAACACCAGCAGCGTCAAACAGTAAGCAACAACAAGACCGTCTACTCAACGCAGTGATGCTCTATTGTTTATCACTTGTTTATCAAATAACTTATAACCATTTGTCTCCCTTTCCCTTACCTTACTTACCTTACCTTCCCTACCTCCTGCCCACCTTACCTACCTCCCGTGGCGACGCAGGCGAGGCTGAGAGAGTCTCCCTCAGTGAGAGGTCCTAAACGACCAGCTGGTACTGGTCGGTCGTCCTGGTCGAGTACCACCAGGCGGGATGGTACCACTGTGAGGGGGAAGGGGAAGAAGGTACAGATGAGTGGTACAATGGTACTGTATGCCCCTATGTATCTCAGTAACCCATGCCCCATGTACAAATCCACAAGGGCCGTGATGAGGCTTCGTACCTACGTCCGGGATAATCCCAGACGCGTCTTAGGCGACTGCGTCGCGACATGGTCAACAGAATTGCAACCGGGAGTGCTACTGCCCTAACACGGATCAGTGCAGCCTCTCCGAGACACAAACAGGGATTTTACACAATTCCCCCCCATGCACCCGGGCTCTGTCAACAAGCTGTTCTGCCTTTTCGCCCTTACTTCAATACACAATAAGGGTGCATTAAGTGGGCAGGTCGCCTTTTAAGGGGTGTATAAGTGGACAGGTCACCGGCTCAATACCCAATTTAAGTGGCCAATTAAGACCGTTAAAGAATATCAATCGTTAACGGGAATAACACAGCTCCGTTGATCAGGTTATTGAACGACTTCCGTCACCCCCCCCCCCACACCCCTCTATTCACTCCCCTACCCCCCTCTATCCAGAGGCATAACTGAACCAGGAACAACAATTCAGTACCACCTACAGCTCCACTACTACCCCCCACCTGCACCACCACTACCCATTACCCCCTTACCACCACCACCACCACCACCACCACCACCACCACACCACCACCACCACAACCACCACCATCCCTACCACCACCACCACCACCACCACCAGCAGCAGGACAGACACAAGGTTGACATTCACGGTTGGGGGGAGTAGAAAAAAATGTCTCCCTGTTGTACAGTTACGTCTGTTGCCGCTATCTGTCTCCTTGGTGGGGCCCCTCACGCACTCACGCACTCAGCGTCATGAGGGCACTCACGCACTCACACACTCAGCCTCGAGTGCACTCGTATTAGTATAGTGACCAAAATAATAATATTCATATAAATATTTATATCTATTTTCATTACAATTATAATCATTCATTTTATATTTATCAAAATATTAAAATTATTATTAACAATACAATAAATATTGGCAATTGTACTATAATTAACATTATTATAATTAAAACAAATAACAATTTAAAATAAAAATAACTAAAAATATTAATAATGCCTGAGAGGTGTCGAGAGAGAGAGACTGAGGTATTTAACACTCTGCCAAAGTGGTCTGACGAATGGCTACTGAACTTCAACTCATACAAGTGCAATGTTATGAGTAAAAAGCAGGAAGAACAGACAGGTTTGGGGGATCGGAAAAGACAAAAAAATTAGAATAGACATAATAACGAGAATTGGCATAACCTTTAATGCCAGAGATGTGCAGCTCAACCTCTTACAGAGCTCAGAGATGTGCAGCTCAGCCTCTTACAGAGCTCAGAGATGTGCAGCTCAGCCTCTTACAGAGCTCAGAGATGTGCAGCTCAGCCTCTTACAGAGCTCTTAGATGTGCAGCTCAGCCTCTTACAGAGCTCAGAGATGTGCAGCTCAGCCTCTTACAGAGCTCTTAGATGTGCAGCTCAGCCTCTTACAGAGCTCAGAGATGTGCAGCTCAGCCTCTTACAGAGCTCAGAGATGTGCAGCTCAGCTTCTTACAGAGCTCAGAGATGTGCAGCTCAGCCTCTTACAGAGCTCAGAGATGTGCAGCTCAGCTTCTTACAGAGCTCAGAGATGTGCAACTCAGCCTCTTACAGAGCTCAGAGATGTGCAACTCAGCCTCTTACAGAGCTCAGAGATGTGCAGCTCAGCCTCTTACAGAGCTCAGAGATGTGCAACTCAGCCTCTTACAGAGCTCAGAGATGTGCAGCTCAGCTTCTTACAGAGCTTAGAGATGTGCAACTCAGCCTCTTCCCTACCTGAGAGGGTTGATGTTGTTGTTATTATAGATTCAGCTACTCTGAACAAGTTCCAAGTAGCACGGGCTATGGCGAGCCCGTGAAAGGGGGGTAGAGCTCTAGTGAGCCCCGGAGAGAGCTTCAACTCTCCACCCTGGAGTGAAGAGAGTGCGGGAGGAAGATGTGATAACGTGCACTACCTCTGTACATCAAAACATTTGCGCCTCCATTTACGAAACCTGTTTATCTTTTCTCGATAAAAACGGCTTAGTGTGTATTTATTTAACAATTTACGACCTTGGAAATTTGGTCACCCAAGTTTATTATTGTCATAGATAATCTCGTATCGGTTATAGGAACTTTTCATAGTGTTTAAAAGTGCAAATTTAGCTGCCATGATTGAAAAAAAAGATCTAGGGGTTTCGTAAGTAGAGGCTTAAGTGATTGATGAATCCTGTTGCTGGTTATGAGGAACGGAGCGTTGATGTAGAGGGTGTGTGTCTAAGAGGAGCAACAACAGCTCGGGTGATCATGTATCGGAATTAGATTACTTGAGAAGTTAGGAAATACTTGTTCAGTTGTAACCAAAGGAAGGAGGAGGTGTAGAGGGATTTATAGTAGCTCACACACACACACACACACACACACACACACACACACACACACACACACACACACACACACACACACACACACACACACACACACACACACACACACACACACACACACACACACACACACACACACACACACACACACACACACACACACACACACACACACACACACACACACACACACACAGTAATCGCGTCTTATCATTATCATGTTGACATGGAAAGGTCACTTGCGCGGCTCCCATTACTAAATATATATTTGATCAGTTCTCCGGGCGCCTAACTCTCGAATCAGCGCCTCTTTGTTACCTCTCTCAGGTAACAGAGCTGCTAGAGCCTCTACACTACTAGCAGCAGCAGCAGCAGCAGAAGCAGCAGCAGCAGCAGCAGCAGAAGCAGCAGCAGCAGCAGCAGCAGCAGCAGCAGCAGCACCACCAGCAGCAGCAACAGCAGCAACAGCAGCAGAAGCAGCAGCAGCAACAGCAGCAACAGCAGCAGCAGCAGCAACAGCAGCAGCAGCAGCAGCAGCAGCAGCAGCAGCACCACCACCACCACCAGCAGCAGCAACAGCAGCAACAGCAGCAGAAGCAGCAGCAGCAACAGCAGCAACAGCAGCAGAAGCAGCAGCAGCAGCAGCAGCAGCAGCAGCAGCAGCAGCAGCAGCAGAAGCAGCAGCAGCAGCAGCAGCAGCAGCAGCAGCAGCAGCAGCAGCAGCAGCAGCAGCAGCAGCAGCAGCAGCAGCAGCAGCAGCAGCAGCAGCAGCAGCAGCAGCAGCAGCAGCAGCAGCAACAACAAAACAATGAAACCGGATAAAATCGCCTTTTTCCGGTATTTTAAATCATTCTGATAACAGGAGATTTTCACTCAAATAGAGTAACCTCCGTCTTTCTTTTTTTTAGATTTAGTGTTGGATAAGCTGGAATACATTATGGTTTGAGGCCAATATGTTATCTGTGACCTTACCAGATACGGGTCATCTGGTGCCGTGACCTCACCGTATACAGTAGGTCACCATACTCACCACACACGGAAGGTCACCAGATACAGCACATACAGTAGGTCACCATACTCACCACACACGGAAGGTCACCAGATACAGCACATACAGTAGGTCACCATACTCACCATACACGGAAGGTCACCAGATACAGCACATACAGTAGGTCACCATACTCACCACACACGGAAGGTCACCAGATACAGCACATACAGTAGGTCACCATACTCACCATACACGGAAGGTCACCAGATACAGCACATACAGTAGGTCACCATACTCACCATACACGGAAGGTCACCAGATACAGCACATACAGTAGGTCACCATACTCACCATACACGGAAGGTCACCAGATACAGCACATACAGTAGGTCACCATACTCACCATACACGGAAGGTCACCATACTCACCATACACCGTAAGGTTAACAAGGACGAACAAGGTGGGGGAGACCTCAAAGTCCACCCTACACCGGTACCCGCCCGAGTCGTGACCTTGCAGGGGGTCAAAGGTCAAGTGGGCGCCCGTCACATCTGACCTTACGCGACCCTTGACACTGGAGTCGACATACTCCTGCTCCTCGTTCGCTTCCCTCAGATCCAACCTGAAAAAAACATGATTTTTTTGGTCAAAGATCAAAGACAAATTGCGGTCAATAATTGGACGGTAGAGCGACGGTCTCGTTTCATGCAGGTCCGCGTTCAATCCCCCGACTAGTGGCTGGGGCACCATTCCTTTCCCACCGTGCCATCCCTAATCCTTATCCTGATCCCTTCCCAGTGCACGTTAAGACTCCTTTTCCTTATCAAAGACCGCTGCCCTAGCGGGTGTACTCACCTAGTTGTGCTTGCGGGGGTTGAGCTCTGGCTCACTGGTCCCGCCTCAGGGCTGGGGCCCTCCGGACTCCTGCTTCTGGCCCGACTAAAATGTTCTGAATTGTAAGAATTTTTTTGGGTTGATTGGGCTTTTAGGTTATTGATGGACAGTTCCCAGTGGCACCCTATTACAATCCCTGAGGCACTCCAATCGTTACAATCTCCTGAGGCACTCCACTCGTTACAATCCCCTGAGACACTCCAATCGTTACAATCCCCTGAGGCACTCCACTCGTTACAATCTCCTGAGGCACTCCACTCGTTACAATCCCCTGAGACACTCCAATCGTTACAATCCCCTGAGGCACTCCACTCGTTACAATCACACAGCCGGACGACTCTACTGTTAGTGGCATTCGCTGTGTCCTCACCTAATGTCTGGCTTTGGTCCAAACTTGTAATCTGTCTCCAATTCTATAAGTCTTATGTATGCAAAGCTTCGTCGAAGGCCGCGCTGGAGAAGACAGGGGGAGAGGTGTGAGGGAGAGGTTAGTGTTGGAGAGGTGTGAGGGAGAGGTTAGTGTTGGAGAGGTGTGAGGGAGAGGTTAGTGTTGGAGAAGTGTGAGGGAGAGGTTAGTGTTGGAGAGGTGTGGAGGAGAGGTTAGTGTTGGAGAGGTGTGAGGGAGAGGTTAGTGTTGGAGAGGTGTGGGGGAGAGGGTAGTGCTGGAGAGGTGTGGAGGAGAGGGTAGTGCTGGAGAGGTGTGGAGGAGAGGTTAGTGTTGGAGAGGTGTGGAGGAGAGGTTAGTGTTGGAGAGGTGTGGAGGAGAGGTTAGTGTTGGAGAGGTGTGAGGGAGAGGTTAGTGTTGGAGAGGTGTGAGGGAGAGGTTAGTGTTGGAGAGGTGTGAGGGAGAGGTTTGTGTTGGAGAGGTGTGAGGGAGAGGTTAGTGTTGGAGAGGTGAGGGGGAGAGGTTAGTGTTGGAGAGGTTAGTGTTGGAGAGGTGTGAGGGAGAGGTTAGTGTTGGAGAGGTGTGAGGGAGAGGTTTGTGTTGGAGAGGTGTGAGGGAGAGGTTAGTGTTGGAGAGGTGAGGGGGAGAGGTTAGTGTTGGAGAGGTGTGGAGGAGAGGTTAGTGTTGGAGAGGTGTGGGGGAGAGGTTAGTGTTGGAGAGGTGTGGGGGAGAGGTTAGTGTTGGAGAGGTGTGTAAAGGCTTAGTGTCGGACCTGAGGGAGAAGATAGTGACAAGGCGGAGTGTAAATGAACAAATTGGATAAAGATAAAGAGAAAATAAGGGAAGAAGTAGAAGAGGAGAAAGAAGGAGAAGGAATGAAAGAAGAAAAGAATGAAATGATAGAAGGAAAGACAAACCAAATTAAACAAACATCAAACCAACACTCAAACACATAAACAAATCAATTAGTACATTAAAGCAAAAATAGAAAGAAAATCAATGATATAAAAGCCATAAAAAAAATAGTTCGATAACATACTAGTCTCCCCAACAATTTAATCTCGGAACCAATCAAAACTCGCGACTCTTGTTTCGTTCAAATACACAGCACGCTGATTGGCTGCCTCGTGTAAATTAAACCTGTACTTCCAAACTCCAGTAATTCAGAACTGGAAATATGAAGAATAAATATTATAAATATTGTTTCAAATGTAGAATTTTTCATTGATGTATAAGAATATTGATACAAATTATATATATATTTGTATATAAATCGAGAAATTCATTCATGGACATTTTTAGGAGATTAGCGAGGAAGAAATATCTTCTCCAAGACGGGACGGAAGTGATTGGGCTCGTTTTCTTTCACCTAATGCTGCGTTTCTAAGGACACTTTAAAAGGCAATGCAAAGGGATGGAATAGGCCTCCCAGAGCCTCCCACACAATATAATGGGATGGAACAGGTATCCCAGAGCCTCCCAGACAATATAATGGGATGGAACAGGTATCCCAGAGCCTCCCAGACAATATAATGGCATGGAACAGGTATCCCAGAGCCCCCACACAATATAATGGGATGGAACAGGTATCCCAGAGCCCCCACACAATATAATGGGATGGAACAGGTATCCCAGAGCCTCCCAGACAATATAATGGGATGGGACAGGTATCCCAGAGCCCCCACACAATATAATGGGATGGAACAGGTATCCCAGAGCCTCCCAGACAATATAATGGGATGGAACAGGTATCCCAGAGCCTCCCAGACAATATAATGGGATGGAACAGGTATCCCAGAGCCTCCCAGACAATATAATGGGATGGAACAGGTATCCCAGAGCCCCCAGACAATATAATGGGATGGAACAGGTATCCCAGAGCCCCCACACAATGTAATGGATGGAACAGGTATCCCAGAGCCTCCCAGACAATATAATGGGATGGAACAGGTATCCCAGAGCCTCCCAGACAATATAATGGGATGGAACAGGTATCCCAGAGCCCCCCAGACAATATAATGGGATGGAACAGGTATCCCAGAGCCCCCACACAATATAATGGGATGGAACAGGTATCCCAGAGCCCCCACACAATATAATGGGATGGAACAGGTATCCCAGAGCCCCCCAGACAATATAATGGAATGGAACAGGTATCCCAGAGCCCCCACACAATATAATGGGATGGAACAGGTATCCCAGAGCCCCCACACAATATAATGGGATGGAACAGGTATCCCAGAGCCCCCACACAATATAATGGGATGGAACAGGTATCCCAGAGCCTCCCAGACAATATAATGGGATGGAACAGGTATCCCAGAGCCCCCACACAATATAATGGGATGGAACAGGTATCCCAGAGCCTCCCAGACAATATAATGGGATGGAACAGGTATCCCAGAGCCCCCACACAATATAATGGGATGGAACAGGTATCCCAGAGCCCCCACACAATATAATGGGATGGAACAGGTATCCCAGAGCCTCCCAGACAATATAATAGGATGGAACAGGTATCCCAGAGCCTCCCAGACAATATAATGGGATGGAACAGGTATCCCAGAGCCCCCACACAATATAATGGGATGGAACAGGTATCCCAGAGCCTCCCAGACATTATAATGGGATGGAACAGGTATCCCAGAGCCCCCACACAATATAATGGGATGGAACAGGTATCCCAGAGCCCCCACACAATATAATGGGATGGAACAGGTATCCCAGAGCCCCCACACAATATAATGGGATGGAACAGGTCTCCCAGAGCCCCCACACAATATAATGGGATGGAACAGGTCTCCCAGAGCCCCCACACAATATAATGGGATGGAACAGGTCTCCCAGAGCCCCCACACAATATAATGGGATGGAACAGGTCTCCCAGAGCCCCCACACAATATAATGGGATGGAACAGGTCTCCCAGAGCCCCCACACAATGTAATGGGATGGAACAGGTCTCCCAGAGCCCCCACACAATATAATGGGATGGAACAGGTCTCCCAGAGCCCCCACACAATATAATGGGATGGAACAGGTCTCCCAGAGCCCCCACACAATATAATGGGATGGAACAGGTATCCCAGAGCCTCCCAGACAATATAATGGGATGGAACAGGTATCCCAGAGCCTCCCAGACAATATAATGGGATGGAACAGGTATCCCAGAGCCCCCACACAATATAATGGGATGGAACAGGTATCCCAGAGCCCCCATACACATATAACATTAACATTTCCTTACATATACTTCACATTATTGTGTTTTCATCACGAATATGTCAGTGTTTGAAGTTTTTCTCGAAATACAAGATAATATAGACTGCCTTAATAGATCTTAATACTATTTAGAACTCTAAGGGTGGTAATTAACTGCTTGTTGTAAGAAATACTTTGAACTGTGTTATTAAGTAGGCCTACCAAATTGGTCAGTTCCGTAGTATCACTGGTAATCTGCTGGTTAAATGTGTAAATAAATTTATGATGATTTATGCCCATAGTTTTTATTGAAGTGAAGAAACGCCGACGTGTTAGTGAACTTTGGGTAGCCGTAGAGTTTTTATCTTAATATCAAAGGTGCCTGAGCACTCCAGTTGCAAACTCTGTGAGCAGGAACTACGGCACGATCTCCCGCACTACATCACTGAATGCCCAGTTATTAGACCTTTCAGACCAGTTGGCATGAGGTACCTTTAGCTTTGCAATTACTTTATTCACTCTCGTATTCTTGAAGATATCCTCACAGTATACCCAAAATTTGCCAGTGCCGGCTATTAAACACATGGCCCTGTATGACTAACCATCCTGCGAGATGGGGACTTGTATTACCACTGCTACCTTATTCACTCTTGTGGTGTTGATATCCTCAAAATGCATCCGGAGTCTGCCAGTGCAGACCGCTTATCACATGCCTCTGTATGACTAACCATCCTGTGTGATGGGGATTTTTTAGCATCACCTAGTTAGCTTCTTTCTGACACACTGTACTCCACTTCATATAGTCTAGGGTAGCTGCACTAATGCAGATGTACCTCATAACTTAATAAAAAAAAAGCGGGAGAAATAGGTCAAATAAATTCAAAATCATTTATGTGAGAGAGTAGAGACACTAGGAACACTCTGAAAGATATATTGGTATGAAAAGGTTTAGGGGTTATCTTGAGGTTATCTTGAGATGATTTCGGGGCTTTAGTGTCCCCGCGGCCCGGTCCTCGACCAGGCCTCTACCCCCAGGAAGCAGCCCGTGATAGCTGACTAACACCCAGGTACTTATTTTACTGCTAGGTAACAGGGGCATAGGGTGAAAGAAACTCTGCCCATTGTTTCTCGCCGGCGCCCGGGA